AATCTAAGTCACCTGCCAATGACCAGGAAAGCAAGTCAGCTTTACAACTGGGACGAAACATTACATATTCTTGTACTCATGGCTGCTGCTTAAGCAGCTACATTTCAATATCTCCCCATTTTATGAATCAGAAACTAAGGAAATACGTGTTGTGGCTATTTCTCACTTCACAATTCAATGTACAGAGCAACAAGAAAATAATTTTTTTGGATATTTGTCTATAAAACTTATTTAAAAAATTAAAAAGAAAGCTCTAAAACTTTTTTTTTTTTTTAAACTGAACACCTGCTTTCAAATTTCTACTGCAGAAAAGCTGTGTAAGCTGTGAGGAAGGTGCTCAGAGGTTACTCCCAATTTCGAGCTCCCCTAGTGGCTGATTCCCTCCCACCGTCCCCGTGGACAGAAACACCTCGGCTGGGATTTTCCCCATTCATGACCAGAAGGAAGTAACTGCAAAAGGGATGTGGATCACAATCCAGGAAGGAAAAAAAATTATACTCACTCCCACCTGGGACTTTTGGAATGAGAAATAGTTGGGTTATTCAAGGAGAAATTAAAAGACCTAAAGGAGATATGTAAGGGTTTTTCTATAAACGTATAATCAGACACTGCATATTGCCCTCCTGAAGATATAAGGAAACCTGTGGGAAATTCTGCTTTAAAGTTTTAAAGTTCAACAGCAAATACACAACAAAACTTAGATAACAATGCCTTATGAATCATTCTGCCTACAAAAATTTTTGCATGTATGATGAAAGGCTCTATTGACCATATCCAAGCCAATGATTAGCATTAATCGACTAGCAAATGGATATGAAAACTGAAAAATCAATGCACAGATATTCTGGAAAGCAAATATTTTCTACTTCTCCATACTCACAAAATGTTTTTTCCTGTAGCAGAAATGCTCACAGACTAATGCCAGACTAAGGGCACAGCAAAGCAACACCAGGTTTCAGCTGCATGGCTCCCTGAATTTTGCTGTCAAACCAAAATGCATGGAAAACTATGAGCTTAATTTTTCTTGTTGGTGCCAGAGTTTTGGGCTTTTTGGAAGAGAATTCCAAAGAACAAGACTTGTTCTGCTTGTCATTATAAAGATATAGCTGCCGGCTAGCCAGTAATTTTGAACTGAAATGTCTAAGTTGATTTTCAGTATAGGTATTGCAATACCATGAAGATGGGCAACAGGGAGGTGCATCAATTCCTTTGAAGAAATTGGTTTAACACTGCCATGAAGGAGGATGGGGTATATAAAAGAATCAAACAAAACTTCAGGTGAAAATCCTGCCTGAGTCTCCTTCCATTTACACCAGTTTTACTCTGGTATAACCTCTGTTTTCACTGAATTTATTCATGATCTACTTCTCTGGCAGTGATTGCTGTGATCCAAAATTTCTCAGGAAGCTGCACAGGTGCAAAGAGGCTACAAGAATGAAGCTTCCATGCCCCAAAGATGGATAATTTATTTTAAAAATTGTGTATTAAGCATAAGGACAAATGTTTGCTATAAAGGAGGCAAAATAGTTAAGATCCATTTAAAAGTCATACAGCGTTTGCATGTGTAGTTTTCTGTATTTTGAGATTCATCAACCAAAATATATCAGCGCAAGGGAAATCTGGAAACTTCAAATGGCCAATGAGCAACCTCTCTTGTGCAGTCTGAACCTTTCCTTGGCTCTATGCAGAGCACACAGCCATCAGCAAATACAGATTTCATAAAAAAGAAGATAAATAATGTCTGATTCTCCAAGAGCTTGGCTGGGGGTCGGGTGCATCCATCAGTGCCCCTCTGCAGCCCAGGCTGGGTGGGGATGGCCTGGGAGCGCTGCCCGATGGCCCCATCCATGGCAGCACAGCGGAGCTTGCGGCGGGCTCGGCACAGCCCCTGGCAGAGCCTGGGTGCCAGCGAGGAGCGCTGGGGCTGTGCTGGGGACCTGCAGCAGCACTGGGCTCAGCAGCTCGTGGCACTGGGGGGGGCTGGATGAGCCGGGGGCCCCAGCACTCCACAGGGCTCGGGGGGCTGATGAGGAGCCTGGAGGCAGCTCCACGATGGACCTGGCGCTGCGGGCAGGGCAGTGAGCGAGGCGGCGCCCCTGAGGGGCCTCCCCGGCACCCTCACGCCGGGCAGCCCTGAGGGACCCCGGGGGCCGTGGGCACAGCAGCGGCTGCGGGCCCTGGAGCCTCCAGAGAAGGGGTCGGTGTCGGCCGGGGGCTGCCGCAGCTTTGGGGTGTTTGCTGTGGCTGAGCTGTGGGGCGGGCAGGGCTCGGCTCGGGGCCGAGCCCGGCGGGACAGAGGCCGGGCAGGACCCCCGCCCCCCGAGCCGCTGCGAGTGAGGAGCGGGGGGCTCGGGGCTGCGGTTTTCCCAGAAGCTGTGGCATTTAAATAATAATTTGAAAGGGAGAAGAAAAGCTCCTGGTGGGGAGGAGAGGCAGGGCGCATCCCGGAGGCTCGGCGGGGCGGGCGGGAGCGCCGGCCCGGTTCCCCCGGCTTCCCCCGGGGTCCCCCGGCACCCCCCGGCTCCCCCCGCCCGGCTCCCGGCGGGGCCGCCGCCACTCCAGCCTGCGCTGAGGCTGAGCAGAGCCTCCCCGCTCCCCCAGCTCTGCTTTCTTTCACATCTAATTTGATAGGAGGGGGATTTCGAGCTTCCCACAGTTACAACTTTTCTTGATTTCTCCCTTCCCCACCCCCCCGCGCATTTATTACTTGCATTTAATTAATTCCTTCTTTGCGTTTCCTTCCCTGTTAATCTTTGGGTGACTGCTTTGTACATATGGCAATCTGATAATGAGGGAGTTTGTCCTTATTCTCTAGACTTCTTCACTGCGATGTCCACCCATCTAGTGCCTGGGATATCGATCTTCTTTCCATGGGGAGGGGGACAAGGTAAGAGGGGTGATAAAAGTTTTGCAGTATTCCACACCATTAAGAATAGCTTTTATTCCTTGGCGCTGTTTAATCAACTGTTATATCAAGTCATGCTGTTTAAGCAACCACATCAAAAGAACATACCCTCTTTTGTATAAATTATATATTCCTTGTATCTGTCTTCTCGCATGCACGCAGACGGGGAGATAAAACTTAAGTTTGTTTTTTAATAGCATGAAGCAGGTATTTAGCTGTTATACAACTTGTTTCTGCAACTAAGTTGGTTGATAACAACCTAGGAGCCAAGCTGCTGCCTTTTTAACTTTTTACCCATTTCCAAGTCAAAACTCCTCAATTTGAAGGTCGGAAAGAGAAATCAATGACTCGCTGAAACTCCACAAAGAAACATAAATAGCAGAAGAAAAGCATAGGCTAAAAAAAGATGAAAGAGCACCAGTTAGAGTCGGCATGAGACCACATCGGACCACTTCTTTCGGCTCTTTTCTAAAGTTTACCTGTAGAGACCGCTTGGTCCCTTGAAAAGTCCGTGCTGACCTGCTTGTTGCAGTTTATGGATAGACAACTTTTTTACCACTTAAAAACTGGTTTTAAAATTAATTTTCAAGGTTTAAATTGATTACTACTCAGCTCAGTGTCACAGACCGGAAAACTCCCATATAGTTGTTCACCCCAAAGAGCTCTTTTTATTTCTTTTTTTTCTTTTTTCTTTTTCTTTTTTATTTTTCTTTTTCTTTTTCCCACAACTTAAATAAAGTTCATTTTTCGGATGTGTTTTGTTTTTCTGAGAAAGTGGACTTTAAATTACCTCAGCACACCATCCTGGAATTTTTAAGAACTCCTGAAAAACTCCTGAAAGTTTCTAGATCCTAGGAGCAAACCTAGGATTCTTAGGAGCAAAAGCAAATGAGCACTTTGCAGGCAAAGAAGTGTTTGTTCATATGGGACTCTGCTGTTCTGTCTAACCTGCTCTATCAGCCTCATCTCTGCAATTTTGCTCGTCTCTCAACACCTTTGTCTGATTAGTAGCTTTTGGAGATTGGGATAAAGACATCACTTGCCACGCTGCATGAGATAACAATTAATTTAACATTAAACTTATCCCCTTTCCATTCACTTTGCTTGGATCGATCTCTGTTAATTGTGTTTGCGGATGCTTTCAACACTATGCTTTTCTTAAAAACTTAATGACACCCCACAAGGAGGTGTAAGAATCTGAAACGCTCCTCTCCGACTTTGACCAAAGAAACAAAGAATATATCCCCAGCGTGCACAGGAGACCATCTATTTTTAATCAGTTGACTATTCATGCACTTCCGAAGATACAACGTTATTTTAAACTGGGTGATAGTCCCGATTTTATTAAAAAAAAAAAAAAAAAAATAGTGCCACATTGCAGTTGTGTGATACACAAGTCAGACACACTAACTTCATTTAACTGCCGCTTCGCATCAGACCTGTTCCTGCTATTAAAGTGGTCATTTATCAGCTAAAAGGCGAGTGTGTTTAAAAATGTATGTCTTTGGGAGGGAGAGCAATCTCCCTTTTCAGGGGCAAGAAACCTGTTACAAAGCCATTTAGGTGGGTGCGCTGTGAAATGGCATTATTCCCCCCCCGGGGCATTAGTATTACCTAAGTATGTTCCCATTTGCACGGCTCCCCGATAATTCGGCATTTTATTTAACCACACTGCCCTTAGAAACTTGACTTGCACTGAAGCAGCCTGCTAATCTTAATTTTTTCCCCTCTTTCAGAGAAGCATCTGTTCCTCTTGCTGACAAATGTACCATTCTGCCAAGAAAGTTTTGGGGAGAAAAAAAAATAAGAAGAAGGAAAAAAAAAAAAAAGAAAGAAAAAAGAAAAAAAAAGCAAGAAAAAAAAAGCGTGTAATTGATGTTATCCCAAGAAAGAGCGATCTCCACCCCTCTCGGCTCTAAGCCCTTCAGGTAAAAGGAAAAAAAAAATCTTTCAAGAATTTGTTGCCTTTTTGAGGGTTAAAACATCAGAAGACAAGCTTGTCTCGCCTTGGCCAATCAGCTCTCGGCCCTGGCAGCTATAATATAGAACTAAAGGCAGACTCCTCTCACAAGCGTCTTGCTTTGCTACCATTAAAATCAGACCCTTTTTTTGTCTCTCGATTGCTGTCTCCCGACCAAACTCCGATGTGTTCCGTTATCAGCGACCTAAAGCCTGCCATTCCAGCACCTGTCTTGCTAGGGATCGGTGGATAGTATACGATTCAGAAAGCAGACAAGGACATAGGAGGAGAGAGAGCTCTAGAGAGACAGCCAGGGATAGGCACAGAGAGCTTTGAAGTAATTGGATTCAATGGACGAAATGCTGCTGTTGACAAGAATTCTCTTGGTGGGCTTCATCTGCGCTCTTTTAGTCTCCTCTGGGCTGACTTGTGGACCAGGCAGGGGCATTGGAAAAAGGAGACACCCCAAAAAGCTGACCCCTTTAGCCTATAAGCAGTTTATTCCCAATGTGGCAGAGAAGACCCTAGGGGCCAGTGGAAGATATGAAGGGAAGATCACAAGAAACTCCGAGAGATTTAAAGAACTAACCCCAAATTACAACCCTGACATTATTTTTAAGGATGAAGAGAACACGGGAGCTGACAGACTGATGACTCAGGTAGAGCCACAGAGATACCTGTATTTGTGTTTGTTAACCTCTCTGAGCAATCCTAAAGGACGCATCTGTCTTAGTATTTTTGAAAGCCCCCCCTTTCCCTCTCCCCCTCCTCCCCCCGCCCCTCCAAACTCGACTAGTTTCCCCATTGAATGTAAATACCATCTATCCAGCCAAGTTAGCAGGGGCTGGAGCTGCAGCTATTTAGATATTTGGTGGGGGAATCTGTGTGATACTTACAGTCATTACCGTGCCATGGCGTTCCCTGTAACTTGGTTAGAGATTGCTGTTTGCATTCGTCCCCAAGGATGCACTTTGATCAAACGAATTGCATACAGCTCAGAGGACCCCAAGTGTATAGTGACCGCCAGGCCACCCACTCATTATTACAAACGTAGTCCGCGGTTGCTGCGCCTGCTGACTTTATTTTTCATATATATATTTTATTTAATTTCTCTTTTTTTCCTTTTCATTTCATTTTAACCTTCATTATTATTATTGTTCTCGTCGCGAGCATATTCTAAATTTAGTAGGCATGCAGTCTTGCACTCACAAAAGGCAGCTGAAGCCGGATCGACCATTCCTCATCTGATTCCGTATTATATAGCTCGTATTGCAATACCATCATTTGCAATTGTGCCCATCAGAGCGTAAATATATTGATATTTCTTTAAGGATGCTCGCCGCCAATGCTCTGGTACTTCCATAGGGGAGGGACTTGCAACTTATCGGCATTGCATCACCTTCTGTTTTAAAAAATCTGATGGCACAAGGTTTACTACTGGGTAAATATTGGATTTCGGGTGGAATCGTATTGCGGAACCATTTTAAGAAAAGAAAGAAAGAAAGAAAATAAAAGATAAAGGTGAGAGAAAGAGAGAGAGAGAACCGCTCCGAGAGTCACCTCGTAATTATAATTCATGCTCAACAGAGAGCTCGGTGAAGTCAATTGCTCTGCCAATCCTGGAGTTTCAGAAACTACATGCAATCTAGACACTGGAAATGGGTTTCCTCCAAATATAGGTCAACAGCGCTTTTTTAATATTAATACATTTAAGCCCCACCTTCAGTGCTAGAGCAGGACTCGCCTGGAAGGACTAGGCGGGGAGTGGACGCGGGGAAGGGGGGTGGGGGGTGGAATTTCCCAAACTCTCCCCGTTCCTCGGCCTGATTTTCCGCACGTTGCCGGGTCTCCCGGGGCGAGGGAACGGCGGCCGCCACCATCTCCTCCCGACCACCTTAAATCGCACCGCTCCTCGGAGCGCGGTGGCGCCTCCGCCTGCCGCCGCCGCCGCCCCGCGCAGGGGTGCGGAGAGGAGCGGAGCGGGTGCCGGTCCCCGCTCGGGCGCGGCCCGCGCCCCTCCGCGCACCCGCGGTCCTCCGCCCCCGCTGCCTCCGGAGCCGCATCTCTCGCATTTTCAGCTCCACTTACTCCCCTCGCGTATCGATCGCGGCGGCTCGGGTTTCACCCTTCCCTCCGCAGCCCGGCGGCGGCGGCGGCTCCGCGGGAGACGGGCTCCCGCCGGGGCTCGGCGCATCCCTCCCTGCGCGGCTGCGCCGGTGCGTGTGCGCGGCGGAGCGGAGCGGAGCGGGGCGGCGGGAGCGGGGGGAGCCGGGGCACGGTCGGGAGCGGTGGGCTGCGGGCTGACCCCGGCCCCGCGGCTCTCCCGGGGCACGCAGCGCCGGCTACGCGGCTGGCCGCTCCCGCTGCATTAGCTGGCAGCGTCTGAACTCCTGACCTTCTGTCAACTTCCCTCAGACGAACGAAACGAAAACAAATACTTCCCCCCCTCCTCCTTCAGTGCTTGTTCCCGTGCCTTAGACACAAAGGGGAGAGGTGGGCTGAGAGCGGCGGGGCCGCGGAGGCCGCGGGGCCGGGTACCCGGCGGCAGAGAGGGGAGCGAGGTGGGGGGCGAGGTCGGGGAGCGAGCGGAGCTCCGGCACCCCTGGGCCAGGCAGCGAGCGGGGAAGCGGAGCGGACTGGTTGCCCTTGCTCTCCGTTCCCCGGGCACGGCCGGGTCCTCGGCGACCCGGGGTGCGGTCCTGCCGCTGGCCTCCCTGCCTCGCTTTCCTCTCCTTCCCTGTCTCCCTCGGCCAGCAACCTCTCGTTAAATCCCAGCCTTTAAACGCCGGCTTCGGGAGTCCTTCAACCATGGAGAGGTCTTTCATAGACAGAATCGTTAAACTTGCAGAGTGGTTGCCGAATGCATTAGCCGCTAGTTAATATTAACTCCAGGAGGGGTGGGGGGGTAACGCAAACAGAGGTAGGTAAGTCAGGTTCTCAACTTTACAGGTGACACCAGCAGTTTGCTAAGGGCTCTCCCCTTCCTCCCTATCCTCCCCACCACCCCGGCCATTGGCTGGATTCGGGAGAGAGATAAGGAGGCCAGGTCAGTATGATAAAGCTGGAATTTGTATGAAATAAAATAGCAATCTCGTGTAATGCAGGCACACAACCGGTGCGTGATGTGAGGAATTTAGAGATCAACTTGGCATTTAGGAAGCCCACCAGGTTGTTTACACTGACAGGTACCTGTTAAGTGTTTCCTTCAAGCAATTCATTTGTGAAGAGATTAGGAGCTGGCAGGAGAGGGCTTGTTGAACAACTTTGCCTCCACACAAAGCGTTAGTGGAGGCAGCCCTGCTGAGCTTCACGGTGGCTGAACAGAATTGGGCTTGATTTGTGGCACACGACCCGATGAATTAATAAATAGTCTGGGCTTCACGGCTTTTGACTCTGACAATCCAGCTCAGGCAGTATAAAAGGGAGAAAAGTCCTTTTAGGAGGCCGTTTCTCCTTTATTTCTTCTGGGGCCGGGAAGTGGTGCTGGCAGGGCCGGAGCGGCCAGAGCCCCTCGGAGCGCGTCCCTGCCCGCGCCCGCTCCTCCCGTGCGGGGCAAGACATCGCAGCGTCGTGCAGTGCTGTCGCCTTATCAGCATCTGAGACTTTTGATTCTTCTCCCCCTTTCCCCTGTAAATCGGTGAGGGAGCATATCTATCCACTCAGGTGTGAGAGGGAGAGAGGAAAAAAACAAAATAAATCAAACTCAACTTCCTTGTACTGCTGCACTTTGCTGCCGGGAATGGTGCCGAAACCCAAACACCAGTCTCTCTCCATAAAACGGTAGGCCAGAGAGTCCAAAGTGAGCTCACGACTGTGTTTTATATCTCTCGGGTGCCTCTGTGTTGCTGGAATCACTTTTATGGCTGTTGGTGAACACATGGGAACTTCCTTACTAAGCAACCTTGTCATGTCCCTAAAAGTAGCGTCGTCGGAGTAATGGAGGGGCTTTGCTTTCCTGGGAGCTGTGAAAGGGGGACTTTGTGGTCTGTTACTGCCTGTGCTGGGAGCACACTGGGGAGAATGGTCCTGCAGAAGGCCAAGCACACAAGTCAGGCCAGCAAAAGTGTGGGAAGAGCAGCTTACTGCATCCCACCGTGGCTTGCAGCCACATCGGTATTTGCATCAAAAAAACAGCATCGGGTATAGCCATGAGTTGTTTTCCTCTCAAAAAGGAGTAAGAAAGCTGGCAACGTGTGTGTTGCTAACTCTGTACCTTTAGTCAAGAGCTTTTCAATGCTTTCGGTGCTGATTTCCTGTTTCTGCGGGCTGAGAGTCCTTTCCCCCCATTGCCACTGTGTCTATTCCCTGCCTGGCTAAGATGGGAATCTCCCCAAAACTTTCAGGGTTTCAGCTCATCTCTTTTCCTCATCCCTTCCTGTGCCACTCATTACTCGGTCCCTACGTGCTCTCGGTGCTGGCTGGGCCTAGTTCAGCCCAGGGAAGGCTGGTGGCTCTGAAGGGTAAATGAAAAACCCTGCAGTACTTTCTCCACGGAGTTGGAAGGGTTTTACTCCACACAAAGGGGGTCCTAGCTTGCATAGCATCCCTGCTCCGCTTAATTTCCCTCCTTGGCCCTCCCTTGCTTTTCATCTTCCCACTAAGAGCTATATTATTGTATGGATTTTCTCGGCTTTGTAGGCGAGCGCCGATGTATGCTTGAAGCAGAGTGAATGCTCCCAGCCCATGCAGCTTTGAGGGCTCTAATGAGTGATGGGCGAAGGGAGAGAAGAAAAAAAACACCCCTCCCTTCAGCACATAAAGGCTGTTAACATGTATTGATACCCTTTTCAACACAGAATTAAGCTGAAAAGACCCGCAGAGACATTCCGGGGGGGGAATCCGTGACTCCGAGATATATGGCGAGTGTTTGTTCTGGGCAGAAACTTTGCTCTCGGGAAGGGACAGGGCACTTAGTGGCAGGAATTTGCTCCGTGCAGGTGGCTTTGGATAGCCACGCTCACACCCCAGCACCAGAGGTGCGGCGGAGGGGGGTCCCCCTGTCCCCGCAGCAGGTGCCAGGGGAGGGGAAAGGTCCGTCTCTGTGGGTCCTCGCGGTGTTTCATCCTCTGTTCATCCCGTGTCCCCAGGTTTCATTCTCCTCCTCACCTGCCTCCCCGTCCCTCCCTGGCAGCGGAGGAGAAGATGCTCAGCCCTGGCTGAGCCCATCCCGGGGCGCGTTTGGAGGGGAGGGCAGGAATGCCGCCGCTTTGGCTGGAGAGGGAGAGCAGGATGCGGCCCAAGGGGGCACAGATAGCGCAGGGAAGGTGTTCCCCCTGTCTGCAGCACCCCCACAATAACCCTTCCCTGTCTGCCCTTTTCCCCATAGCGCTGCAAGGACAAGCTGAACGCTCTGGCGATCTCGGTGATGAACCAGTGGCCCGGGGTAAAGCTGCGGGTAACCGAGGGCTGGGACGAGGACGGCCACCACTCCGAGGAGTCCCTGCACTACGAGGGCCGCGCCGTGGACATCACCACCTCGGACCGGGACCGCAGCAAGTACGGCATGCTGGCCCGCCTGGCCGTCGAGGCTGGCTTCGACTGGGTCTACTACGAATCCAAGGCGCACATCCACTGCTCCGTCAAAGCAGGTAAGGCGGGCAGCCTGCCCAGGGACGTGTCGAGGTGGGGAGGCAGCCCCGGGCCGCAACTCAGCGCCCTAGAGCCTTCTGTGCCCTGTCTCTGCCGCCGGGCTCCCTCCCTTCGTCCCCGCAGGGTCCCCATCACCCGGCCTGCCCCGCCGGGGCTCCCGCGGGGATGAGAGCAGAGGCCCGAGGGCTCAGCCGGCCTTCCCCCCGCCTCTTAGCGACCCCGCCGGTGCAGAGGTGGGGGAAAGGAAAGAGTGAGAGCGAAGGAAAACAAACAAAAAAAAAAGCCGATCCAACTGCAGCAGTTTTTCATACCACTTTTATTTGGGTGATTTGCTTGGCCGGCCTTCCCACGAGAGCTGCATCGCAGCTTCTCCTTCTCCTCCCCCCGTGGGGTCTGATGCTTTCCCTACCCAAGGAGCATGTTCAACACAAACACTCGTGGCCGTCTCCGGCCGCCCCGCTGGCTGCGCGCCTTACTCGCGAGCGCTAATCTCCGAGTGGGAGCCGGCCAGGAAAATAAATAAGTAACGTGGTCCCCAGCCTCCTTCAGTGGTAGCAGCTAGGAAATTCCCAAATAGGGATACACATACACGTAATTTTTTTTCCTCCCCTCCCCTGTGCTTACAACGCCACACGCTGTCTCAATCCGGGAACAGCTCACAAGAAATTCCCGACTCTCAGAGTTCCTTTTCTTGACACTTGACACATTTTTGGGGGAGCAAATCTATTAACGAGTGTCAGCCCCCAGCTCCACGGCTTCCCTCCATCCAGCTGCATGATATCTAAAGCTCTTTTTAAGAGCATACTCTAGCCCAGCAACCTGCTGGATGTGTCAGGAAACACTTGGCTGCAAAAGAAAATATTGGGCTTTCTTTAAATATTGCTGTTTGCTTCGAGCCCAGCAGCCCCACGGCAGGGAAACCAGCCCGGCCCTGCCGTGCTCACCTGCAGGAGGGGTTTGTGTCCCCCACTCCAGCCTGGAGCTCCCCAGGGGCTGAGCACCTCTCCTGGCCCATGTGGGCTTTGTCCTGAGAGCCTGCTACTGCTTTTGTTCATCTCCTGAGTCCTCTCTAGCCGAAAAGAGGCCCTGCAAAACTGTCAGCTGCGTGGAGATCCGAAACACCCCTTTCAATAGCCAAGATGGGCTTTGTAGCGCAAGGTGTCCAATTGTGGTGCACGGTGACCTTAGCCCAGGAGCTCCTCCTAATCCACCCCAGGGGTGTTTCACAGGAGAGGAGCCACCCCAAGCTGCTCATTGAGATTCCGCACACAAGGACTTGGGGGCAATATTTGGAGGGTGTCAGGCAGGGTCGTGTGACTGTATGAGGCAGGCTGAAGGGAGCAGGCTTGAATCCCACTCTCTCAGCCTGATCTTAAACTGTCCAAACCTCATTTCATGACAGAGCATCTCATGAGAAGATTAAATCCCATAATGCCAGCAGGAAGATTCTTTATCTAGATCTCTGTTTGCAAAAAGTATGATCCAAGAGACTGGAATGCAAAGAAGAGTTCCCCCAAGGCCTGAATTATTGTCACCAGAACAGAGGAGGGAGAGGCAGGGGTGGTAAAAGGGACATTGATAATGCGCTACAGCAAGTATTTAGAGCAAGCTTCTACATTTAAAATTCAAATACAGATCTTGAGTGCCTTGGAAAAGTGGCTCTGCTGTGCAAATAGTGCTTGGAAGGTCCTGGGTTTTTTGGAGAGTATGTGTGTGAATTGGCACATAGGGTTTCTGCACCTGAACAAATAGGGAGGGGGAGAAAAGGGGGGGAAGAAGCTGGGAAAAAAATGGAAGTGTCCTCTCTTCCAAGAGTGTCTGCATTTATTACATGAATCAGAATGACAATGCTGATCCTTTATTGGATTTTAATTAGAGAACCCAAACAAGCACTGCTCAAAGAAGCAGATTTTCACACCTCAGCCAATTCACTGGTATGTTTGTAGAGCTGCTACACTACTACATCTATTCATCAAGTCCCTGAATATGCAAACAAAGCTCTAGCCAGACCTTTACCACCAGCTTGTAGGAAGGTGTAGTTTGCTAGCAGAGGCCTCTACATAAAGCACATAGCTTGTTTGTTGCCTTGTCCTCCCTGAAGAGGGAGGCCTTGGGAATCTTGCTGCTTCATTTCTGAAGGAGAAGTGATAAAGTCATTAGCAGATCAATAACGGTCTAATTTTCATCCTTCCTGTCCTTCCTGAGAAAGTCATTAGGAGACACTGCAAGGATTTGTTTAAATCATAGGAATTTCAGTAACAGCCACAGAGGCAAAATATAAAACCTGTCCATCCTTAGGAGCTAAATCACCAGGTCTCTTAACTGGTATAGGGAGTAACTGTGAGAAAGCAGGGAAAGGCAAGGGAGGGATGGGGAAATCCAACAGCTGTAGCAAAGACGCTACCATTACATACTCTGGGGTATTACCCAATTTTTTTAAAAAACAGAGCAGTTAGGAACGCTGCAAGCCCCTCTTGTTAAGACAGAGATCAGCCTGAAACAGAGCTGATGTTTTTTCCCACTGTGCCCCTGGTGTCTGAGCTTCCAAAAAGTGATTTTGCACAGAGTCTCATTGCTGCTTTTGCTTTCTCTAAGTCTGAGATTGTTGCTCTCAGTAGCACTGGAAAGCAGTGCTACTCTAAACTTCTCTAAACTCTGAGTAACTCCTGAGAGCTGGAGAAAGTGGAGGAGGCATTTGCTTGGGCCTTGCACAGGGACCACACGCTCTGAGAAAAGGAAGAGCATCCTTCTTCTAGGGGGGAGGGAGAGGTTTTTATCTTTTTTGAAAGAGGATTGAAGCAGAGTGCTGGAGATGCCAGGCAGGGGGGCTGCGAGGGTGGGATGTGCCCCAGTAGCCACCATGCTGAGCAGGGAGGCTGGAGGCAGCATGGGGGCTTGTGCAGCACGATAGAGGGGGATTTGGGAAATTTGAGTTGTTGCTTTGCAGTGGCAAAATTTGTGTGCACCCTGGAGCAAAGTCTTCTCCTGTTCTCAGCTGTTTGCTGCCCTAGATGTGCTCCTTGAGTAAGAGCTGTGTGGGGACCCTGAGCATCGAGAGCGCAGGCACTTGCTTAGAGAAGAGACTTTGTGCCAGCAAAATCACTTGGCTTTGAAAGCCTGCAGGTTATCTGGCATCAGGTGTCAGTGCAGAGTAAACAGTAGCCAAATGGGAAGTTCTTCCAGAAGAGATTTTGTTTTGGAACAGTTTTTTCATTGGAAATATTTTGGCCCATTTCCTTTATGAAACCAATCACTCTTGTAACTTCTAACCCAGAGGAGATTTTGCACTGGCTCAAATCTGGCAGGAAGGGAATTCTCACTTGACCCATTGAGTGCAAACGGGGCGTGTTCCTAGATGAGGGTGGAGTAATTTCAGAGGGGAGTCTGGCTGTGTCCTGCGCTTTCTTGGCGGGTTGGGGAGGCTGGGGAAGTTATAAATTCCCACATACCCCCATGCCCCAGCCCAGTGTGCCTCCTCTAACCCTGCTGTGCCTCTCTCCTTGCACAGAAAACTCGGTGGCGGCCAAATCCGGGGGTTGCTTCCCTGGCTCGGCCACGGTGCACCTGGAGAAAGGCGGGACGAAGCTGGTGAAGGACCTGAGGCCTGGAGACAGGGTGTTGGTGGCGGACACGGAAGGCCGTCTGCTCTACAGCGACTTCCTCACCTTCCTCGACCGCGAGGACGGCTCTCACAAGATCTTCTACGTCATTGAGACTCGGCAGCCCCGGGCCCGGCTGCTGCTCACGGCCGCCCACCTCCTGTTCGTGGCCCCCCAGCAGAACCAGTCCGAGGGGGGGGCCGCCGGCAGCCGGGCGCTGTTCGCCAGCCGCGTGCGGCCGGGCCAGCGGGTCTTCGTGCTGGGCGAGGGCGGGCGGCAGCTGCTGCCGGCGGCCGTGCACCGCGTGTCGCTGAGGGAGGAGGCGTCGGGGGCCTACGCCCCTCTCACGGCCCAGGGCACCATCCTCATCGACCGCGTGCTGGCCTCGTGCTACGCCGTCATCGAGGAGCACAGCTGGGCGCACTGGGCCTTCGCTCCCTTCCGCCTGCTCCAGGGCCTGCTGGCCGCCCTCTGCCCTCTCCCGATGGGAGACCCCACGGCCCCCGGCATCCACTGGTACTCTCGGCTCCTCTACCGCATCGGCAGCTGGGTGCTGGATAGTGACTCTCTGCACCCGCTGGGCATGATGGTGTCATCCAGCTGAGGGACCCCGCGCCACGCCGGCCACCCGCCAGGCTCCCACGGAGAGACAGAGACACCGAGGGAGAGAGAGAGAGAGAAAGAGAGAGAGAGAGAGAGAGAGAGAGAGAGACAGAGAGAGAGAGAGAGAGAGAGAGACAGGGAGAGAGAGAGAGAGAGAGAGAGAGAGAGAGAGAGAGAGAGAGAGAGAGAGAGAGAAAGAGAGAGAGAGAGAGAGAAAGGAGAAAAAAAAATAGGAAAAAAAAAAAGAAAAACCTAAAAGAAAAAAAAAAAGGAAAAAAAATTACATATTTTTAAAAGAGAGCACGGATTAAGACTTAAAGATAATAATAATAAAATAATAATAATTAAGTAGGACAGTCCAAAGTAGACTTAAAGGGAAACAAAGACCCCTGGAAGTTCTGTTCTGTTTAGTTTATAAATATATATATTTTTATTTGTTCTTTTGTTTTGTTTGTTGGTTGGTTGTTTTCGTTTTTCCTCCTCTCCTGGATATTTATTTCTTTGGTATTTTGAATAGATGTTTTAAATGATATGAACCGGACCTTCAAGAGCCTTAAATAGTTTCTTTGATAATTTATTATCATGTGAACTGTACTCACAGGGGAAAAATTATTTTGTGAGGCCAAGTAAAACTGCGCAGAGTCTATTTTTCTACATGTCATGTGTGTCCTGACTTTCAGAAAGCAAAATTCTGTATTTTCCCATCTCTCCATTACATTGCTCCTTCATTTCAGCAAGTCTAAAAAACAAGCAAACAAACACACACAAAAAAAGACAAACTTCATGGGGGTCCGTAAATTATATTTTTATACACAGAATTGTAAATTAGATTTTTTTGAGAGATCAATACTTAACTGAATCACATTTCGTTTTTTGAAATAGTGTAAAATATGAGAATATATTATTTTAATTTAAATAGTTTCAAATGTAACATCATTTCTTGTATTGTTTTCCATGCTTTGCTTTGTAAAAACATCATTTGGCCACATTCATGGAAGTCAAGACTGTTACACAAACTTTTTATTTGCAAAAACAGTAAGAAACTTTGTTATTTTTAACTTCAGAAAAAGTTTATTAGAAAATAATATTTTTTAAAAAGCGCACATGGCGGCAATTCTGTGACGATGGAGATGGTAGTTTGTACAGAGGGGGGAAAAGGATGTTTTGCATTAATAAATTGAGAAATAACTGCTGTAAATTTACTAAAATGTATTTTTGAATATTTTGTAATAGTTTTAATAGTTTTATAGAAATAAAATGTGCCATGCACAGTTTGGTTAGTATATAATAACTAAGAGTTCCTGGTGCATCCCATTTTTTTTTTCCTTTTTGCTTATTGGTTTAGGAAACACGAAGCCTAAATGAGTGCCCGTTATTTTATTTAGATGTGTTGCTTATAACATTTAATTTTGGTACTTTTAATTAAGGAAACGAATCCATCACATCTGTGCATAACCTGGAATCTCTTGTACTGACAGTAGAACCTCACTTATTTGCACGACCGAGCGGCAGACGGGTTTCCTTTTGCCAGAGCCCTGGCTCTCCATCCCTGCTCAGGAGATTCTCCTCTCTTCCAGCTCCAGCCCCGACTCCGTGTCCACTTCCCAGTCTGGTCTGGAGACTGCGGATGGCTTTTAAAATTGATTTCTGAGGATGCCAAATCAAGTTTTCCCTTTGAAACATGTTAATGTGAAGGCAGGCAGCTGTCTTCACCTTGTGGCAACATGGGGATTTCAGTGGACTTCAATCTGGCTGCCCAGAAGATGGAAATCTGAGGGAGAGACATTGACTTTGGTGAGTTAGAGGGATTCACATGGCTGATGCTGGAAGAAGGAGATGGCCACCAGATTTCACTGGCCGCTTTGAGTAACAGCACAGGGCTTTGGGCTGCTGAGAACAGAGCAAAACCCCCTTTGCAAAGCAAACAAAAGGACAAAGATTTGTTCATTTATCCTGAGAGACATTCCTTAGCTGTAATGCAGGAGTCTGTCCCTAACCACTCATGGGTGAATGTGCTGGAGATGTGTTTTAGGAGCTGAGTGGTAGGGCCAGTGCTGTGTCCCCTGCCTGGTCCCAGCCACAACCCACCTCGAGGGGACCATCCTTGACAGGTGCTGATCAGTGAGGTTCTGCTGCACCGCGTGCTCCTCCACGGAGGGTTTCCAGGATCCCTTTAAAAATTTTGCAAAACATTGTGTGTGCATGCGTGTGCGCGTCTGCGACGGGACCGTGCTGGAAGGGAGCTTGCCTTGAATGTCTTCTCACCTTTTCTTTGGTTTCCATTACTCACCAGTCTAGGATGTTCATCCACCAGGCCTTTTGCTCCAGAGACACAGCCATGTTCTCTACTGGGATGGATGGCAGCTCCACAGCCTCCCAGAACGTCCCTGCCTGGGGCCATCTCCAGAGAGTGTAGACCATGCTCTTCCACACTGATACCCTTGGAGCTTCTGGAGCGCTGTCAGGAGCTGGTGGCCGAGCACTGCTGTGTGAAACCCTGCCAGATGGATGTGGTCCCTCCTTCCTGTCAACCTCTAGTCCAGCCGCACTTCCAACCTCCAAAGCTCGGACATGGCCAGGGTGATGAGACTTCGGAGTGACCACAGTGTGCTGCAGCACCAGGAGAGGAACCAAGCCACCCTCATGCCTACCTGATGAGAGGCATCACAGGGGACTGTGGACTGCCTGGTGAGCGCTGAGGAACTGCTGCCCACCCCAGCTTGGACTCTGCCACCTCCCTGTCTTTGGGGTGTGCTGAGGGCTGCAAACCCAGATGATTTGGGGCATGTGAGAATGTGATCGTGGAACAAATGAGTCTCTGCTGTAAGAGTCTGGCCTTAGTATGGCAGCATCTGGGTGTCTGAGCTCTTTTACCCTGTCTCTGAGAGATGGTTGCCATTTTTTAAGGCCTCTACACTCAAAGAAATGACCATGTTGGAAGGTGATTTCTCCAGAGGTTTTGTGGTGGAGGTGTTTAGGGATGTCAGTGATCAAACTTAAAGCCACTGGCTGGAGGGCTTCAGTCTAAATCACAACTGAGATGTTAAAGAGCCATCAGTCCAGAGCCCACACTTGTGTCAGGACAGGGCACATGCCTGGATGGGACCACACCAGATATTGCCTCATTTGATCTTCACCCAAAGGCCGAGATGGGCTCAGAGCTTTGTGGTGTGAGGGAAGCTGAGATGCTCTTACACCAGGATCAGCCTTTTTCACTGAGCAGAGAAATGCTGTGCCATGTTCTCCATCACACTTATTCCAAGCAGCTTTATGTCTTTTCCTCACCATGTCTGAATTCCACCTCTCCCTCCGGCGCCTTCCATCAGGATCACCCCTCCATGGTGTGTTAGAAGTGCTTCCTTAGATGGGCCAATCCAACCCATAGCTACAGCTCTTGTATGAAGGATGTACTGTCATAACCTTGTGCAAAACATCTAGGAGATGTCACTGTCCATCTTCAGGGTCCAAGTATGGCAATAGTTTGTATAAAATGTACACATAGTGGTGGCTACAGAATAGTTTATGACTAAATACATATCTATTACTGTCAAAATAATGTATAAGAATGTACTTGAAGCTATTATCCTTGTGCTCTGTTGTCTGAATAATTAAAGAAATTACAGAGACTTCCTGAAATGTCTCATATGTGATGGCATTCCTATCACACTCTCTCTGAGGATTTTACCTTGAGGGGGGATCCTGTGGGATTTGGTACTGGACTCTTCAAACACCCCAGGAATTGTGCCAGTGTGGCTTCATGTGGTGGCCACAACCTCCTTCTCCTCCCTCCTACAGCCACATAGTCTGTCATTTACCTGTGAAATATTGCGTGGCTCTGCAAAACCCACTCATTTGGAAGGGTTCTGTGGGGAGGCAGAGGTGCCCTGAAGGGCAGCCCACCAGCAGCTCCCTGTCCTCTCCACCTCCCCCACCCAAGCCAATGTGAGAAGTAACCCTAATGAGACTGGGACTAGTTTGTGTTTACTTGACCAATAGTTCAAGCAGTGCTCTGGAGCTCAGACACCGGGCAAACCCTCCAAAGGGAAGCTTGGGTGTGCCAGCAAAAGAGCATCACATCCACAGTGCAACTAAAATCCAAACCAAGCACTGGGGTAAAGCAGGTGTTTCCCAGCCAGGTAGCTCTTCTGTGCCTCAGCCAGCAGCTCTTTGTGCATGGAAACATGGGAAAGTTTGCCTAGCTGGATCTTTAGACAGATATATGCACATATATGTATACATATATAATATTATTATCCTGATATTAGGAACTCACCACATCCCACCAGGATATAAATATGTTTACACTGGCCCTCCTGAGCATTTCACACCATGTTGAGGCTGAGCAGGAGATGTAAATCAGCCCAATTGGGTGATAATTGGGCAGCAGTTTTGCAGCCCCAGTACAGCATCTATTTCAATTACAGGGGGAAGGAAACCAGAAAGAGCATTTTATCTTACTCATTACTGCAAGCCATAAGGGACCACTAGATTTCTTAAGCTTTTGAAATTCTCTCTTCAGCAGTTTCTGCCTTAAAACTAGTTCAAACTTAACTGAAAAAAGGTCAATTTTCCATGTACAGAACCCTTCAGAGCTTTCAAAGGAGCAGTGTTAATGTGATCCTCGGCCTATGTAGGCTGAAAGGGAAAAAAATAATCTTTACAAAATGCATCTTTACAAGTGATAGGGTTGTCTCAGATTTGATAGGAGCCCCACAGCCACTGCTTTTGCCAAGATCATTAAAGTGAATTTTTAATGCTTTGCATTTGGGGTGTTTTGGCTTATGTATCTAAAGAATTTTGGTTTTCAGGGATGAAAAGAAGTGAACAAATCCAGGAGATATGAGTTTAATGATCTTGTCCTGTTCCAGTGAAATCAAGAGTGGCATCCAGAGCTGATTTGGGTGCACAGGCAATTGTGCACCTTAAGGCTGAGTGCAGGACCCTGTTTAACTTCCTTTCCTTTCATTTTTATGTGAGAGCAAGACATCTCTTTGGACAAATATTGCTGCAAATCAGGAGTGAAACCACAAGGTCAGGAAATATGTTTGGGGTAAAAATATTTGTTTTGATGTCCTGTGACCTAAATGTGGAATAAGTATTAGATTTGCTCAGTTTGGTGTGAACAAA